CAAACGTATGTACTTAGATACTTTCGTGAACGTATGTAATATAGGGGAGTTCAAGCTTTATGTATCTGATAGTAAAAATTCTGTTGAGGTTGCGCTTTCAATGTTTGCACTGGAAAAATTGCAGAACCTCGGTTGTTATCACAAGAACAACATAAATTTAACTTGCATGCAAGCGCGTATCTGTGGTGTTTTTGATTTGAAAAGTGTGTAAAATAGACGTTAAAAGTGCAGATTTTTCTTGCACTCCTAGGCAGGAGGCATGATGAAAATTGTATTGCCAAAGTCCGGAAATTTAAGTATTTTTATGCAAATTGAATCACTTGCAGTGCGGAAGTAGAAAATTGTTGCTTCAAAGTGATTTGTATTTACCATTAAATATGATTTGCCATACGCAGAATTAAAAAAAAAAGATAAACTAAAAATATTTTAGTACTTGAGTCATTCTTCAGGTGTTTTTAAATATGTTTTTTGTCTGTGATTGAAATATATAGAAAAATAGTTTTGCTCACTACTTGTATTTACTTAATCCAAAGGTTTTGAAGGATTTTTTTCTTTAAAAAGAAATTTATCTAAATTTTTCTTATCAGTCACACAATCTTTTAGTTAGGAACAAATGGTATACTTTTTATGTTTCTAGCTATTTTACATTTTAGGTTTCAAAATATTTTTTTTTCTTTTGCAACATTTCTTTTATTTCATTTATTTTAGCTTACTTTGCAACCAAGTGTAGTGCTGTTGGCCCAGCTCTCGCTTTTATATTTTTACCTTAGTTACACAGTTATCATTAAATAAATGTCGTCAAATCTGGGGCATGCCACATTTACGTACTATTTTTCCCCAACTTGAGTACAGTAATTGTGCAACAGCAGTGCAGTTTAGCAACGCCTCAGCACGACCACATGCAGCGGTGTATCTTTATACTTTGTTACATTAAGCATATGCGCTTGTCACATTTATTTCTATTTTTAGCTGCAGCAGATACTTAAAGTATATTTTTCATTTTCATATAAAAATTTTTAATTTCTAAAAACTTCAACTCTCCCAAATCGAAATAAAGAAAAGTACATATTATTTATTGAATTTATGCTATCTTTAGTTAGTTAAATGTAAAATGAAGTTGTGTTGCATTTGATATATTGCATTTTGCTTGTCAAATGTTTGATATTTATTTAGTACACTTTAGATAAGCCGCAGATTAGTATCGTCTTGTTTTTTATTTTTACTACCATTGTATCAAGGTTTTTAGGTTAACAATCCAATTGCTTTTAAAACATAATCTCTTAGTGGTAAGTGTCGATATGTGTATCTAATTGTCTTA